GGGTTGGAAAGGACCTTAAGATCATCTAGTTCCAACCTCCCTGCCATGGTCAGGGACTCCTCGCACTAAACCATGTTACCCAAGGCGCTGTCCAGCCTGGCCTTTAACACTGCTGGGGATGGAGCATTCACAACTTCCTTGGGCAACCCATTCCAGTGCCTTACCACCCTCACTGTAAAGAACTTCTTCCTTATATCTAACCTGAAGTTCTCCTGTTTCAGTTTAAAGCCACTACCCCTTGTCCTACCACTAGAGTCCTTGATGGAGAGTCCCTCTGTGGCATCGTTGTAGGCCCCCATCAGATACTGGAAGGCTGCTATGAGGTCTCCACGCAGCTTCTCTTCTCCAGGCTGAAGAGCCCCAACTTTCTCAGCCTGTCTTCACAGGAGAGGTGCTCCAGGCCCCTTAACATCCTCATGTCCCTCCTTTGGACCCTCTTATGTTGGGGACACCAGAACTGTATGCAGTACTCCAAGTGGGGTATCACAAGAGCAGAGGGGCAAGATCACCTCCTTTGACCTGCTGGTCACACTTCTTTTGATACAGCCCAGGATGCGGTTGGATTTCTGGGCTGCGAGCGCACCCTGCTGGCTCATGTTCAGTTTCTCATCAACCAACTCTCCCGAGACCACCTCTGCAGGGCTGCTCTGAATCAATTCGCCTAATCTATATCTGTGCGTGGGATTGCCCTGACCCAGGTGTAGGACCTTGCAGTTTGCTATGTTGAACTTCACGAGGTTGACACTGGCCCACCTCACAAGCATGTCAGGGTCTCTCTGGATGGCATCCCTTCCCTCCAGCGTATCAGCTGAACCACGCAGCTTGGTGTCATTGGCACACTTGCTGAGAGTGCACTCAATTATAGAATCATAGAATGGTTGGAAAAAAACAGGAGTGTTTAGCACTTCTTTGGGCAACCTGTAGCAGTGCTTCACCACTCTCACAGTAAAGAACTTCCGTGACAAAAGACTGCTTCTCACATTGTGTTTGTAAGTGAATGGAGTGCCTCCAGATTCAAAATGCAGTGGAACTAAATAACTGTTTCTAGTTCCCCAGTGTAAATATGATACGGTAATTCCCGCATCATACACTGTTTTAACTAATGTTCCTTAAAGCACCATTAACCTTCAAAGTTCTATCTTTCAGTTAAGGCATAATGGATTTTCCAGAGGGTACCTTTGAAAATGACTTGTAGCTTACCCATTGTCCATGTTGTTGACAAAAATTTTGGACAGGATTGGTCCCAACACCAACTCCTGAGGGACACCACTTGTTACCTGTCTGCAGTTGGACCTCTGCTGTTGACCGCAACTCTCTGCATGTGGCCATCCAGTCAATTCTTTATCCCCTGAGTGGTCCATCCATCAAATTGGTGTCTCTCCAATTTAGAGACAAGGATGTCGTGTGGGACAGTGTCAAATGCTTTGCACGAGTCCAGGTAGATGACATCAACTGCTCTGCCACTGTCCATCAGTTCTGTAGCCCCATCATAGAAGGCCACCAAATTGGTCAGGCAGGATTTCCCCTTAGTGAAACCATGTTGGCTGTCACCAAGCACCTTGCTGTTTTTCATGTGCCTCAGCATTCTTTCCAGGAGAATCTGCTCCAAGATTTTGCCAGGCACAGAGGTGAGACTGACTGGTCTGTAGTTCCCCGGGTCTTCCACCTTCTCATTCTTGAAAATGGGGGTTACATTTCCCTTCTTCCAGTCATCTGTAACTTCACCTGACTGCCATGATTTTTCAAACATGATGGACAGTGGCTGAGCAACTTCATTCACCAGCTCCTTCAGGACCCGCAGATGGATTTCGTCAGGTTCCATGGACTTGTGCACCTTCAGGTTCTTAAGATGATCTCAGACCTGCTCGTCTCCTACGGTGGGCCTAAGGTCTTCATTCTCACAGTCCCTGCATCTGCCTTCCAAGACTTGGGTGGTGTGGTCAGAGCACTTGCTGGTGAAGACTGAGGCAAAGAACTCACTGAGAACCTCAGTCTTCTCCAAATCCAGGGTAGCCAGTTCTCCGGATAGCTTCTGGAGAGGGACCACATTGTCCCTAGTCTGTCTTTTGTTAGCGATGTACCTACAGAAGCCCTTCCTGTTATCTCTGACATCCCTGGCCAGACTCAGTTCTAACTGGGCCTTAGCTTTCCTGACCTGATCCCTAGTTTCCTGAACAATGTCCTATATTCTTCCCAGGCTGCCTGTCCTTGCAGACCTTCTATAAGCTTCTTTTTTCCTTTTGAAGTTTTCTCAGCCTGTTTACAAAGTTGAGGAAGGTGTCTGTCTTTGCCTCTGTATTGAACATTGTTATGGACTGTGCCTTTAATTTTTTTCTTCTATGACATAAGCAGGTTGGATTCAATTTTCATGAGTCTTCGTCTGTCCTTATTCAGAGCCCATGTCTGCTCACCTGTATTAGAGCATGTGTAATAACATAGGAGAAAGTAAGTGTTAGAGAGACTTCATTAAGACAGGTTTGTGACTCCTTGTGTTATTACACTGCTAAGTCTGCTGAAAGTTTTCAAACTTAAAAAGGAAAATTTCTGTATAGCTTCATAAAATTTAGGTTCTGTAAATGCCACATTTCAGAGCCTTTTCAAGAAGTTTAGAAGGCTTTTGTTCTTTTCCGAAATATTTTATTGGAGTTCTGGTTTTCAGTATTACTCGTCAAGCTTAGTTTCCTGTTGCCAAGAATCCTAATGCATAGGACTTTGAGGGAGAGTTAAAATTTAAGTAATGTATCTAGGAATCTCAGAAAAGGCCTGCTTCAAAAAGTCCTCTGTTCAAAACAAACACAGATTTGCAGCTGGAACTGTCAGGACTGAGAACAAGTGCTTAGTATCTTACAACACAGTGTTTTATTTTTACAGTCCAGATGAATTTCATGATCCTGGGTCTGAAATTTATCAGTGATTAAGGAAGATTTAACTTGAGGGGGGAAACTTCTTGACTTTTCTTTGAAAGCCAGTTTTGAAAACAATGTAATTTGAAGTAAGTGCCATTTAAACTAAATTCTGAGACTTAAAAATGTATTAGTAAATGAATAAACATTGCAATGAGCCCCATTTTATTGTATAAAACAATGATGCAGTTTGTATTTTGGTATTTGTTGTGACAAAATGTTTTTTCTTTTTAAGCAGTGTGCAACATGGATTTGTAGGTTCCCTTCTTTTCTTAAAAAAAGAAGAGGCAAAAGTAAGTTAGTTGAAAAAGGTGAAGAAGTGGAGTAAACTTACACTTATTTATTACTGCTTTTGTCACCACCAGGGGATGTATAAACAATTTTTATATCGTCTCAGTAAATATCTTCAGTAATTTTAAGTTCTTAAGGGGTCTCTTGCGTCCTTTGCATTGTACTTCGAACCTAACTTTCCTATTGTTCTCTTGAATTGCTTTTTTTTTTCCTAGTTCTTATTAGAATCTTCTTCCTTTTCTTCCTTTCCTGTCTTCATCTTCTTTAGATAACTCAATCTGTTGCTGTCTTGTCTTATCTAGTCTTTTCCCATCTCAAAACCATTTTTTCCCTATTGTACTTTTACCTTATTTTCCTCTTTTAGAAGAAATACTCTCTTCCTTGTCCTTTATCTCAAACGTTTACAACCTTTATTGTACAAGATTTTAATCCCCAGACCTCAGCATTGATGGAGTTTCAATTCTTTAGCACTCATTTATCTGCTTGTATAAGTTCTAGTAACCTACAGGTTCTGTCATCTCAGAAAAGTGGAGACTACTTTGAGATTTTGCCTGTGTTGCCCTTAAAGGTCAGTAAGAACAATGAAGCAAAAGAGAGGGCAAAATTTCTGTGATCTGGACTGTGTAGACAAAATTGATTTCGTTTCACTTTAAAGTGGCAGAAAGAGTGGAGGAAGAATAAATTTGGTGTCAGAACCATGAACTCTGGTGTTCAGTGATCCGTGGCTTACTAAAGAATATGTAAGACAGAAGATTCTTTGATTCATGGGGATTTTTTTTGGTTTATTTTTAGGTTTTTGTTTTGTTTTGTTTTGTTTAGTTTTTTTAGGCTTTTCAAATTCATAAGCATTATTTGTGCTCCACAATACCAGAGTTAAATGGGTAAATAATTGTTACCTCTTTTTCACTCTTCATGGGACCTCTCTACAATCTAGCTGTCTGTTGTATGTTACCTGAAGGATTGCTCTTTATTTTTTTCTGACAAGCTACATATTCTTGGTATTCTCACCAAAAATCTGTGCCATCTCGTTTCATGGATGCTTTGTGAAGCTCAAGGAAATAGATATTAATGTAATTAAAAGTAAAACTTAAACTGCATTTGCCAGTTCTATAATAAGATAAAAGCACTGTTTGCTTCAGAACTGTACTTGCTTTCCTGGAACTTCATAGAGTAACAGTCTTCAGCAGCTTCTTCAGAACGTGATTTTTGTGCTTGCACTTGATGTTCCAAGTTCTTGAGCACTGAGATGGTAAAAGGTATTGAACATTCTTTGTCTGGCTCAAATCTTTATTCTGTATAAATTAAAGAGCAATTATATAGAAATTGAATACCATCTGTTTCTATTTCTGCATGTTGGCAAGTTTTGGCAAAGAGGGCCTGTATCAGTGAAGGGGTATTCCTTGATGTGTGTGCAACAAAATAAACTCACAAAATTAGGGTGTAAAACAGGCAGACTTCACGGCATGTGTTCCTCAAGGAAGTATTTATGCAGCATTGTAGTGAAGCAGTATCACATCCTCGTGCTTCTGTATTATGTTTTAGTTTGTCTTACTCCAAGTGTAAAGGTAATAGTTACTTTTAGAAATCAATGGATGATATAATCATAGCTCTTCTCAAAGAATAGCTCATGAGGCTATGTTTATAGCCCAGGGAACTTTGGATTGTACTTCCGTTCTTGCAGAAAACAATACAGCTATACTGACCTAAGAGAGACATTGTATACTGAATGTACTCTTAAAGAAATTTGGTGGAATTTAGATTTGATTAACCAGAGAGGTAAGTTTGTAATATTCTTGCCTGTTCCAGGTTACATGTCTCCACACCCATCTCCGCTAGGAGCACCGGAGCATGTGTCCAGTCCGATGTCTGGAGGAGGTCCAACTCCACCCCAGATGACTCCCAGCCAGCCGGGACCCATTATGCCAGGAGACCCACAAGCTATGAATCAGCCTAACAGAGGTCCTTCCCCTTTCAGCCCTGTACAGCTGCATCAGCTGCGGGCTCAGATTCTAGCATACAAGATGTTAGCTAGAGGTCAGCCTTTACCAGAAAACCTTCAGCTTGCTGTTCAGGGCAAGAGGACACTCCCTGGCATTCAACAGCAACAGCCTCCCAATGCCTTCAACAGACAGTCTGGTAAGTGAATCTAGGCCTTGTGTCATTGTGCAGGTAATTCTTGAAGTTTTGCTTGTGGAAAATTAAGAAATGGGTGCTGTACAGGGCTGTAATTTGGGGTTGTATTCAGGTGTATGAGTGAACTTTGGTTTTAAGCTTGAGCAAGTGCATAGAACACATCTGTTATTAATAGGATATTGTCAAAACTGAAATAAAAGTGATTTCACTGTGCAGTGCTGTGTCCATCCTGGTTATACTTTTCATTTTTTGAATGTTAGTCATACTTGACTGATCACAATTTCACTGTTTTTCACAGAGTGAATTTTCAGACCAGTCGCTGCGCAGAAAAGTAGATAAAAACCCGGGAGCACACTGACAGGTTATTTAGGTTGTTGAAAGTAAAACAAACCATGTATAATGTGCTCTCAAGTGAAAAACATAAGAAAAGAAAGGGGTTTTACTTTTTTCTCCTAATGATAATAGAACTACAGTGCAAGCATGTTTTGGTCCTAAGAAAACTGAGTTACATTAAACGCCCAGTACCTGTTTGTTTCTGAACACCTCCATTGCTGAGTATGCATTAGAAATTGAGGGTTAAGATGGCACTATTTAAGTAATGATCTTAATTTCTCTGGTCACTTCATTTCTGTGGTTGTGATTTTGCTACTGAGTAAGGTTTTTTAGGAGACATTATTGTAATATGCTTTATTATGTATATTTTTTCACAATAAAATCTACTTAAATTCATATTTAATGAAGAAAAATACTACTTGCCTGAATATACTAGCATGCCAGAAAGCAGAATGATTTTTCAAATACTTCAAAATGTTCTGTGTCTTACTAAGTTTCTTTTCTCTGTCACATTGCAGGGATTGGGTTACATACAATGAGTGGTGCTGCAACTGGACCAGGGCCTGCTCCAGGGATGCCTGGACATACAGCTGCCATTACCCCTAAAACTTGGACTGAAGGTATAGCAGGGTATAATGCTAATTTTACATCATGTAGCAGGATTTGGTTAAGCAGTGTAGATAGAGTTTGGGGAAGAGAAAAATAATGTAACCTTTACTATGCTTAGGACTTGAATCAGTGAGAATCTAACCATTTATTAATCCATGAATTACTTGATTACATGATATTACTGCAACTGTTAGGCAGCCTGAACATGAAGCACCTTTTTTCAATCAGAGTGAAGTATGTAAGCTGCCTGGGAGACACACGTAAAGTCTACTTAATAAATTATGTTCTGACCATATTAATTCGATTGCTTTCAAAGTTCAGTGTAGTATTTGAGCTCTAATGAAGAATGTAACTTTTCCCCCCCTGCATGATAATCAGGGTTTGAACCAAATCATTCAGGTTCAGGTTTACAGGCTGTAAAAATACAGTATCGCAGGCTTGCAAATAATGTAGGCTTCTCATATAGTGGAAATGTTACACTGTTGTTTGTGAGTAAATCTAGGGACAGTGATGACTCTACGATAGGTGCTGTCATAAAAAATTCTCTTTAATTAGTCACTTCTTAGGGCAACATAAAAAGAAAATGAAATACTAATATGTAATCAGATGTAGAATTGCTTTGCTTGGAATACTCTGAAAGAATACTTGGGGTTTGAGTAGGGTAATAGGGAGGAAAGTGTTTCTTGAGAGGTTGTATGTCTAAGTTTACTAGGCACTGTGTCTTCTAGCTCAAATGCTGCTACTAAAAACTGCTGACAGAGATAAAGAATTGCTAGATGGGTAGTTTTCATCTAAATAATTCAGGACGTCATAATAATAACTGTCTGTCCTGTTTAACTATAAGCTGCTTATTGTTTGTCCTTTTTCACTGCTGTTTTTTTAAGAAAAAACCTGTCCTTGCTGTATCTGTTTGAAGGTTTTATTTAATGCATTTTCAAAAGTTGTGCTTATTTCTTTATATTTATTTTTCATTCATTACATAGTTGTTTGTGGTAGTGTTTGTTTTACAGTTTGATTTACATCAAACTCCCTGAAAACTGAGGCAGCACAGAGGCATTTGGTGGGCTTGCTTTCTTCTCTCATTTTAAAAGCTACAATTCAGTGTTGCTAAATACAAGTTCTGCAGCTTGTGCTCAAGTTCCTTTTTTTGAGTTTGATGCAGATGTTTGAATGACAGATGGTGATCTCTGAAGGAATCTTTTTATGTAGCTTTCAGGCTGTTGGGTTTGAGTTAAGGTTGATTACAGGATTGCAGGTGTACTTTGCAGTTAAGTTCCTGTAACTCCTCAGAAGATTAAGTGACATCTTTATTGTTGCATGTCTGTTGTCAGCGGCAATTTGTGAACATCTGAATGCATGCGTGACTTGTTGTCATAATGGCATACTGAATTCTATGGCCCTTAGTGTTTATAAATGGCAGGTACAATTTTCATGTTAACTGAGGTGCTAATTTTCAAGACGATTACCAGAACACCTGACAGTATTCAAGGCCAGGCTGGACAGAGCCTTGGGCGTCATGCATGGGCTAGTGCAAGGTGGCCCTGCCTATGGCAGGGGGTTGGAACTAGATGATCTTAAGGTCCTTTCCAACCCAAACCATTATGTGATTCTATGACTAGAATGCTGAAAGATAAAACAGTAATTGAATTCCTAATATTTGGAAAACTTAAACACAATTAATCGTGACGTGTGATGGAAACCATGAGATCGTGAAATCATGATGGAAAAAAAGGTTACTTACATATGACAGGTACTTCTGAGTAGTTGAGAAATTTCAATATGGCTGTCTATTTCTCATACAGCTGTAAAAGCAGACCTACTGGTACTTGTTGTCAGGTTGTGAGTATAGATGCCATCTTCTGTGTGGTGCAAGGACAGCAAACAAAAGGCAGACTTAGGTCCTACGCTGACTTAATTCTACAGCTGTTTCACTTCTAATGCTAGAATTAAAAGTCAGAAGAATGGAAAAAGAAATGGCATTCATTGTAAAGTTTCAGGTGTTTTGTTTTGCTTTGGATCACTTCTTGCAATGTATGGTATATTTGCATTTTAGTGTATTTTTTCAAATACAGTGTGTAATTTGTCTCAGGGTGCCTCTTCAGTGATTTTGAATGTTTACCTTAGCTTCACATTCTGTCTTCAGAAACAGGCTTGATTTTCTTCCTGTGTTTCATGTTTCATGTTGTGTATAAGTACTTTTTATGCTGCAGGCCAAGCCCCAGATATGAGTGTCTCTAATGCACAGCAGAAGCTTCCTGCGGCACCCCCAAGTGGGAGGCCTTCTCCTGCCCCTGCTGCTGCCCAGCCGGCTGCTGCCATGCCTGGGCCTTCTGTACCACAGCCACCACCTGGACAGCCTTCACCCATTGTTCAGCTGCAGCAAAAGCAGAATCGCATCAGCCCTATCCAGAAGCCACAAGGGTTGGATCCTGTTGAAATACTCCAAGAACGTGAATATAGGTAAAAGCAAGTAACAAGATTCAAATGCACATGCATACTGCTGGTTTTCACTTACTCAACTGAAACTTCTTGTAATTAACTACTGTAGAGACAATAGTATAAACTGATTTTCCAGAGAGAGACTGTGTCAAAGAGCAGTGTGGAAACGTCAGCCCAAACCATGATTTAGTTCTATCTCCAGTTATGAACTATGTAACAGTAGAAGGAACATGAAGTAAAGCATACTTGCAGTATTACTGCAAAACAGTCTCAAGGACTCCGCTGCCTTAGCATATTATTTGGATGCTCCTGGCACCAAAGATGAGGAAATCAAAGTCCTTGTCGTCTACAGAGAAGCCAGTTTAATGTGGAACATTTTCAGAACAAAAGTGAAGTTAGAAGGGAACAGTGGAGATTGAAAGGCTGATGAGTTAGTTGTCACAGGAAAACCAAATTTTATTAGTCACAATGGGGTTGGCTGGACTACTGCAGAGTAGAGAGAATATGAAGGAGATCACAGGCAATATTATTAAAAAAAGAAAAAAGTTTGCCGGGAAGCATGATGTTTAAAAGTTGCCTTCTGAGTGCCCTAATTAGGTGGTGAATTATATTCATTACAAAGTACAGAGGATGATATTTCATGTGTAGTTAGGCTTCTTCCCTCTTCCCATCCACGAGGCTGTTAAACAATTGACCTTAGGAATCCGCTTGGCAGAGGGATCTTGACCCGCACCTGAAATACGCTCCTGATTATTATCAGTCAGGGGAAGGAAACTGCACTTGACATATTCGCTTGGCTTGGACTGATAATGCATCTTCCAGTTACTATAACAATGGGTTTGTAGGGGAAGGTGGCCAAAAGGGATGGTGATCTCACTGAAGAATGGTTTAATGACTTTCACTTTTTGAAGGTAAAACACCGTGAAGTGTTTTAGGATGTGGTGCCATATCCAGAATTCAGGCATCGATCCTAGAAAAGCTCTTAATTTTATCGTAAGGTAATGCTTAAGTAATTTATTGGCATGTTGTTGTGGTCATTTTGTCAGTCTTACCCTTTTTGCCTTAGGACTGACTGAATGGCCATAGCTGTTTCAGCATGAGCAATCACTTTTTTCTAACATCTTTTTCAGAATGCTTGTAGAATATACCATTATGTGGTCTCACAGTTGCTATGAGTGAAGAATTGTACTAACCTGAGCCAAGAGTCACGTGGCCAGTATAATGTAACATTTCTGCGTCAGTTAACCTGAAATTGTTAACTCCTCCTGTCTTTCCAGCCCAGCTCCATTGCACTATTTGTGCAAAACTATTGTGTCTTAGTATGCATAAATGGAGGAAAGTGAAGGAGTGACAGTCAATAGTGGTGTTGTATTTACTAATACGGAGAACCAGTTGCAGATACAGCGTATCTGTTAGCTTCTAAATACTCTGATCTGCTTGACACAGTAATGTAGGGTGGAAGTTTGACAGGGATTCTGCAGCAGAAGGGTTTTATTTTTTATGGTAGTGTATAGATAGGGATTCAAGCTTTTTTAACATTGAGTGCTGTATACCAGAATGCTTAGAACCTCTGGAATTACTTTGGTTATTTAAAACTGTATAAGTTACATCAGATAAAAGCTTTTAAAAAATCTGTTCAACAGCTTTTGTGCTTTGGATGATACTAGACTTAGCTTTAGTATAGGGAAGTTTAATGCAGAAATACAATACATTCACTCTTTCTTCATAAAAAGGGGGTAGAAAAAAGCCAATATAAATACTCGTGTCCTGAAACTAGTGGAGCTAGAAAAAGCTTCATGAAACATTCATCTCTTAAGATCTCTCAGTAGTTAACTTTTAATAAAGGGCCGTTATACTTTGAAATACTTACAAAACTGTTTAAATCTGTCATTTCCATGAAAAGACAGAATTATCATGTAGGTATTTTAGGGATTGATACTTCAAACATACAGGTAGACCGAGAAGGTAAAATTTCAGTATCCTGCCTTATTGAGGGAAAGTGTGAGCTTTGAATCTGATTGATTTAGCAGTTCTTGAAAATGACAGATAAGATTCATGCAGTAATTCCACTGGTTTTGGCTAGATACAATCACAGTAGATTGTAAGGGTGATGTTTTGGATTTGTGCTCAGAACAGTGCTGATAATACAGGGATGTTTTCGTTATTAGTGAGCAGTGCTTACACAGAGTCAAGGCCCTTTCCGTTCGTCAGGCTGCCCAGTGAGTAGGTTAGGGGTGCACAAAAACTAGGAGGGGACTCAGCCGGGACAGCGGACCTTGACTGACCAATGAGATATTCCAGACCATATGGCGTCATCATGCTCAGCAGTAAAAGTGGGGGGAGATGGGCAGGGGCACCCTTCTTGGGGACTGGCTGGGCAGTTGGTGGTAAGCAGTTGTTTTCATCTGCATCACTTCTCTTTCTTGAGTTTTATTTTCCTTTCTATTGTTTCTTTTTTCCTCTCTTTTCCTCATAGTTAAAAAAAAAAAAATTAATTATCAAACTGTTTTTATCTCACCCATGAGTTTTTCTCACTTTTACGCTTCTGATTGTTCCGTATCCCACTGGGCCTGGGGGGAGTGTGAGTGAGCAGCTGCATGGTGCTTAGTTGCTGGCCAGGTTAAACCATGACAGTGACCTCGAACATGGGTTTCTGGATTAAAGATGTGAAATATGCTGATGGGAAGACAGTAGTTTAGTGCTAACTCTTGAGCTACACGATAAAAAGTTAATTGCTGAGGTGTTCAGCCACATCTCTTCTTGTATACTGACTGCTCAAGGGAGTGGCAGTCTCTCGGGAGAGTTACTGCGTAGATATTTCTGTTTCTTAATGGTCTGTGTACATGATTTATGTATTACACCATGTCTTACACGCAGAATAATATTGTAAATATGGAATACTTCACTTTTGCTGTTACAAAATGACTTTTTTTTTTCAGTGATAGCAGTTCTTTTTTCCTTTCCTTGATAGTAGTAAGTTACATAATTCGTTTCAATTCATCAAATATGCAGTAAGAAGTATAGTACAGTGTTCTCATTCATTAACCACATGTTAAATAGACGAATACAGAAGAAGAAGCAATAATACACCTATTAATACATTGCAGGATCTGAAAAAGCTTTGAGTCTAATAAGCAGCAGCCTGTTTATTCTTTCTGAAAAGCCTTGATCTGATTGTAAAAAAGGCTCCAGCGTATATTAAGAAAGAGAAACAAAATAGACAGTTAATGTTGCTGTCAAATTCACGTGGTTGTGCTAAGAAGCTGTTTGCAGTATATGTTGATTTGAGATGAGATTATATGATAATTGATGTTAATCTCAGTGTGACTAAAGGTAGATAAAAGGAAACTTAGATACTTAAAATTCTTACCAATATAAGAAGGTTAAATTACTCATACGTGGTGAGCTGTTAAACTTGCTGTGTTCCTTGAAATCTGGCCAGAGCGAAAAATTCGTACTGTGCCTTTGTAAAACTCTCCTTAGCACTTTCTTTAAAATAAAATACTGCTTTTCAATCTCACTGAATTGATCTCTTAAAACTAATAATGTTTGTAATTTGAAGTTGTTCTATTATGTGGAAGGGCTTTTTTCCACCTTTTTGTTGCTAATTAAAGAAAATACACTTGCTGGCGTCTGTAGGTTGTCTGGGATTTCTTCCTGTTATCTGTGGAGTCTCTTCTTATCTGTCTTCATGGCTTATTGTGTGGCATCCATGTCAGACAGGTTTGAATATGCAAGCATAACCTCTGCTGTGAATCCTCAGTTAATGAGGAAGAGATGTACGTCACTTGTTTCGCAGAGATCTCTGTGTAGATGCACTAGTCACTTTCTGGATGGACAGAGATAAATTGCTGTGCTGCATAGATTAATTAAATATATCCTCAAAACGATGAGATTATATCCTTTAGGTGCTTGTAGAAGGCGTCTAGGAAACTTTTTTCTTTGGATTCTGTTTACCTAATAGCTGCTGGTATTTTTCTCTGAAGACAGCAAGAGTCCAACAAACTGCAGACATTACTCTTTAAAGACTAGAAGGTGGCTGTGGTGAGAAACAGTTCAAGTAGTTGGACCTGTACAAGTACCTGTAGATTTTAATGGAACTTTCTCATACTGGGAAGTAACCCTTGATATACTTTGCAGTCTGTATAAAAAACAAACCTGATTCTGCTTCAGTTCTTTGCTTTCATGAGTACACTAAGTTAGTCTTATGCAGTAATACAGCAGTGCCTCCTTCGTGTTGTTCCAGAAGTCTTTGGTAATATATTAAAAAAAAAAAATGTATATAGTTTTAGGAAGGAATAACTGCAGAAGTGATTCGAGTTGCTTTTAAGATTATGTGTAGTCATGATGCATGCATTTAGTGCGAGGTACTAGTATTCTGATCTGATATTTCTTACTCCATATATTGGTTGCAGCCATTTTGCCTCATGTGTGATCTACTTTCCAGCTGTGAGGCTGACATGTTGAGTGTATGGGAGTTTATGTCACTGTGCTAATACTTGGCGCGATGATAGGGGGCGAAAGGGCAGGGGAAGAAAGATCACTGTATGCACAGAAGGTCTATAGAATGTGCTTGCTTTCTTCCCTCATGGCAGGTCCAAAGTCCTCATTGCAGGAAAACAACAGCATACACCTTTTCCTAATGTCATCTGATGTTTTGTGCTTTGTGAAAGTAAACAAAAAGTAAAAACTGAAAGTTCTGTGCAGGGAGATAACTTACTCTTCGTGGGCCTTTACGTTTTTGATTTTGGGAGAGAGACGACTCTGGTTTGGGGGTACACATGCGTGTTTGGTTTTGTTTGGTTTTTTGGTTTTGTTTTTTTTTTTTTTTGGGGGGGGGCTTGTTTGTTTTGTTTTGTTTTGTTTTTTTGTTTTCCTAAAGCATGTGGGATATGGAGGGCACTGGTTCAGTTGAACTTAGAGGCAGTTTTTGGATAAGTTATAATTTTGGGGCCTGTTATTTTAGGGCCTTGGCAAAATTTGCAGTTCACAGAAGTACTTACTTATGAATAAAACCACAGAAACTTCTGTCTGGCTTGTCCGTTATTCTGTCTTTCTCTCTCTCTTGAACTTGCAAATGAATGCAAAAGGAGCTTGTAAAGGAAGAGTGAAATAGAAACAGCTATGTAAGTGTTAATACTTTACTAATCAACCTTTCATTTGTCAATAAAATAAGCAAGTAAAATATGAGATATGAAGAAAATTCTGTCCGTGCCATCACTGACTATACTGTGCATAAAACAATACCCTTCAAAGAAGCTTTAAAGCAGAATCCTGGATAGAATGAGTAAAATAAAGTTCCCAAGTTTCTTTTCACTCATGTACTTTTAGTCAAAATTAAAAGAAGGGCCAAGGTGAAATTTCAGCAATTGACAATTTATTTTCAAAGTGGAAAAGGATACCTAATGTCATCTCTGCAAAAGCCTGTTAGTTCAGGAACAATTAGTAAAAGCCAAATAAATTCCTCCGCTAAATTGTTGATTTTTACTTTATGATTTCGATAACTGCTTACAGATTTCTCCTGGTGTCTTAACCCGATTTTCTATTTACTTAGGCTTCAGGCTCGAATTGCCCACAGAATCCAGGAACTGGAGAACTTACCTGGTTCTCTGCCCCCTGATCTGCGAACCAAAGCTACAGTGGAGTTGAAGGCACTTAGGTTACTGAATTTCCAGCGCCAGGTAATGCCTTTTGCTTCAGGAGAATTCTCAAATAAGTCACATAGAAATGTGTTTGTGCAGCAGAGAGTAAACTGGCAAGAGACTTTGCAGCAGCACTGAGCCTAAGCGTAAGAGCAAACTTGACTGATAAGCAAGTCATGGAAACTTTAACTTAGATTTTGTTTTGTTTTGTTAAAAAAAATGTGTGTTCTTTTTGCTTTATCTTCCAGCCTGAAGTGTAACCATAGAACTGTGTCTTTGATAATGGACATGGCATTGGCGCAAAGACAGAATAAGAGCCGGACAGGCTGCAGTCTGATTTTCAACACGAATCTCAATAGGCACCTCTTTCTGGGCATACTCCATGTTTATCATGGGTCCCTTGTTTTAGGAGGAATTGTATGTTAGTGCTATGTGTGGTATTTCTCTGTGATTTGTTTTCAGGATTTCCACTGTAGCACACACTTTGAAAATTACGCATAACAAGATTATAACTAAGATACAAATTGGATCTTGAGTGCATGTATCAGCAAATGAATTTCAGAAAAGAAGTCACACTGCCAGACTCTTCCAGGCCTCTTGCCATTGGTTTTCCCGGCTAGTTTGGAAGAATGAAGAAGTGACTTGGCAGATAAAGAAAATAATTCTTGACGGAAGCCTTGGCAGTAGTTGGACCATGATGTCCAAGTCTTCCTTCCCTCTACCCTTGGCACTCCTTTGTAATGAAGTTTGGTCAGAGGTCAGATGAAAAGCAGCAGGCTCTCACTGCTGTACTGATGAGACTGTAGCAATACTGTCCCAATGTTTCCATAACATTTACCTCTTCCTGTTTTCTCCTGTGCAGCTGGCACTGAAATGAGTTGTCAGCTGTGTTCAGGTCCAGGTGTAGAAAGTATGTATGTTGTTCATTTGTGTTTTACTTCTATGGTATAACATTTTGGCAAGCTCCTTTAATTGTGGCACTATAGTCATTTGCAGCATCTTGTAGAGAAGGGAGAAATGATGATTGAGAGTGCTTAACACTTTTGGCCATCCTGTGGTGAATGAAGATTTGTTTAGAGAGGCAGACATAGCTGCTGCAACTGTATAGATGCTAGATCTTTTCATAACTGTAATAAAAATGGAAGGGCGGGTTAGGACATCTGGATTTTTACTGTTTTACTCTGCCATACCACTGTTTAAAGTTATTCCTACATATATTAAAAATGATCTTTTTGTTTAAAAAGTGTTTTTTTTTTTTCCCATTGGTAGCTAAGACAAGAGGTGGTAGCTTGCATGCGACGTGACACAACGCTGGAAACAGCACTGAACTCCAAAGCTTACAAACGAAGCAAGCGCCAGACTTTGAGGGAGGCCAGGATGACAGAGAAGCTTGAGAAACAGCAGAAGATAGAACAGGAGAGGAAGCGTAGGCAGAAGCATCAGGTATTTTAACTTACTGGCTGTTTACCCCATGACTGGCTGTTTACCCTGTGATGGAAAAATTCACCTTACTTTGCTGTGTATGTCTTCTATATTAAGTGTTTCGTTTACCTTTGAAGTTTCTAGTATTAAAAATCACCTCCAAATCATGTGGTAAGCAACTGGAAAACAGTAAGATTAGAACTTCTGTATTCCCAATTTCAAACCCTGTGCTTTGTCCAAGTGTCAGCACTGACTTATTCCTCTTTCCAGGAATACCTGAATAGCATATTGCAGCATGCTAAAGATTTTAAAGAGTACCACCGGTCAGTTGCTGGGAAAATTCAGAAGCTTTCTAAAGCTGTGGCAACTTGGCATGCCAACACTGAGCGTGAGCAGAAAAAAGAAACAGAGAGAATTGAGAAGGAAAGAATGAGGAGACTAATGGTAAGGAATATGGTTATTTTAGCTAAAATTATGTATTGTTTCCTTTTAGTATATCATATACAGTCTCAGTCATACCCATATATTTTTTGTAGAATTAAGCATCTGTAGCGCAAAAAGTGTAAATCTAAAACTGCTGTAGCTGGATTATGTGTAATTCTGATGATGGTAGTGAATGTGACACTTTTAACCTACAAGTTAAAGAGCTGTAAGTTCATTTTAACCTACAGCTACTTCATTTTTTAAGTTTTTTGATAAAAATATTTTTTTTTCCTACCAGCATGAATTAGCGCAGCCAATTCTGTATAATGTTAGGAAGAAGTTCTGCACTATGAGGATGGTGAGGCACTGGCATAGATTTCCCAGAGAAGTAGTGGATGCCCCATCTGTGGAAATGTTCAAGGCCAGGTTGGATGGTATTTTGGGCAACCTGCTCCAGTGCGAGATGTCCCTGCCCATGGCAGGAGGGTTGGAACTAGGTGATCTTCAAGGTCTCTTCCAACCCAAACCATTCTATGATTCTGTGACCCTTTAACACAAATGTATAACCCTCTGGGCTACTCATTGAAGGAGTTTTTTACCCATCTAGTTTCCTTCTTACACAGATCATAATGACCTACATAAAATAACACGATTATTGCATTACTTGGTTGGTGTTTCTTTGGAAGCATTTCTGTCATGGCTGATGCCTATTTTTTATTGCTAGGCTGAAGATGAAGAAGGCTACCGTAAGCTGATTGACCAAAAGAAAGATAGACGCCTGGCCTACCTATTGCAGCAAACAGATGAGTATGTGGCTAACTTGACTAACCTGGTATGGGAGCATAAACAGGCACAAGCAGCCAAAGAGAAGAAGAAGAGAAGGAGAAGAAAGAAGGCAAGTAGTTACAGCTGGTATTTTTAGGCCATCTCTTCTTCAAATCCAATTTTAATGTTCATAAAAGTAGTTACACCCAATTGTCTTACACATACCAAAGTATCTAAAATCATCTACGCTACCCAATTCTTAACACTGAGGGAACTCATCTTTCTCCACTGAAATACATAACAAATTTGTTCTCATTAATTCTAGAGAATGTGAAAAGAAGGTAGGATTAGAAAATTGTGGTCTGTTAAGATTGTTTTGCTGATAAACTTCATGCAGGCAAAATTGGGCCAGGCACATAAATTAGGAATAAAGTACTCAAAAAGGATCCAGTGGATCCATAATTCATTGTATGAAGAAGATGGGAAAAGTCTGGTTGTGTAACTGTTTCATACAGGGTAACTTTTCTAGACCTTCACATTCTACACTTGGCTCAATCGTTTTTGTGGGTCACTGGAAACAACTAGAGAGAAAGAACTTGGGTAGATGTATTACAGTAAATGGGGTTTCTGCCAGTAGTATTTTTCATTGTGCATCCCTAACATTTAATTGAAGCTTTTCAAAATTACCTTTCTTTGTATGAAATATTTGACCCTGTGAGAGAGACTTGTGAAAACTAGCAAGTGCTGTTTTTGAAGAAAATAATTTCATGTGTGAAATAATCATGAGTTATGTTTTGCCATTTTGGGGACCTCTGAGTACATTTCAGCTCTTGCAGGATGGAGAAGAGGATTTTTATAATCCCTTTCCATGCCTGATTTGCTATTAATTACTGATACAAATATAGACATTATATTTACATGGCTTACAAGCAGCACTCTAAATATGCTAATAAATACCAGCATAGAACAAATTATTATTTTGGAGATTAATGATCTAAAAAATGCTCCATGTTTTCTCCTGTTCCTCACCAAAACATGTACTTTTTGTTGAGAGTATGTTTTTAACATCATAACAGTCCACCGCCTCCAAAATTAAGATGTAACTTAAGTTGGGTTCTTAACTGTAGTACCAGTGAGAACAGACCTTATTTAATGTACAGGATTCGCAGTAGAGATGATCCTGAATGAGAGCATGTGGAGTAAATGCTCTGCTCTGATGAAAAATACTAATTCCTTCAACAGTCCACATCTGTGATGCAGTCCTGTTTCTGTGTCAGATTAGCTGAAGTATGTATGAAAGAAGAGAGTTCTTACGATTTTCTCTTAGAAATGGCAATGAGGAAATAGCTGGTGAAGAAGTACTTCTCATCTTTGGTAGGCTCACATTATGCAATATCCAAGAGAACCCTTTATTCTTGTGAGAATAAAATTTCAGATTAGTCTGTTTTTTTCTCTGGGATACAGTTTGGGGAATCCTTATGGTAAATTTTCTCTCTTTGCTTTTTTTCACATTCCTGTATTTGCATTTTCTGCCTCCAGACTCCTGTTCAGCTGGTATCCCATACCATCACTGCAGTCATGGATTTTAAAAAAATAAAAATACTCCAGATTAAGTTTTCATCTGACAGGCCAGTTTAACTTGCAACTTTTCACCTTTATCCATAGGAATTTTTCCCGTCATTGTATGGAGAATGAAGTAAATGTAGCTTCCAACTTTTGTAAAATTGTTATTTCCTTGTCAAGGTTTGAATTGTCAAGATTAAAGATGTGTCTGCATAGCCCAAAATACAAGTATGAGATATCTGGCATTATTTACATTTATCTCATTTGTAACATACATTTCTGCTTTCCAAAATTATTTTTAACTATAGGTTGTAGATGTTTCTGCTTTCATAGGAGAATCTCATCTTTGCACATTGAACAGCACTGGTGCTTACTCCTTATTTGTGGTGGTCTGTTTGAGTCATAAGGTTCTTTCCCTGACTGTAGCTAAGGTGTAACAATCTTTATATATTAGAGAGCAGTCTCATGTGCAGAAGAGTGGACCTTCCTCTTGTTCATCCAAGATAAAAATATCCTCGGTCAATGTAGCTTGTTCAGTCAAGGCCAGATACGTGCTATCATAATTTATCTTGCCTATTTGTTTAAACTTTTCAGTTCTGGTATAGTTCCTTTCTTTGTCAACAGACATGCCTGTTGCCCAGGAATGCTGAAGCAAGCAATCTTCAAGCTCACAGTAGAATCATAGAATAGTTTGGGTTGGAAGGGACCTTTATAGATCTTCATGTCCTGCAATGACCAGCGACATCTTGAACTAGATCAAGTTGCCCAGAACATCATCTAGCCTGGCCTTGAATGTCTCCAGGGATGGTGCAGCCACCACCTCTCTGGGCAACCTGTGCCAGTATTTTAGCACCCTCATTGTAAAGAATTTCTTCTCACATCCAGCTTGAACCTCCCCTCTTTCAGTTTAAAACCATCACCCCTTGTCCTGTCACAATAGGCCCTTGCTAAAAAGTCTCTCCCCGTCTTTCTTACAGGCCCCTTTTAATAACCGAAAGGCCACAACTTACTAGTCTCTTACTGAGCATCAGCTATTGTTGCATTGAAGAGGACCAGTGACATTTGTGTAGCCCAGTGAAGTATTTATAAGGCTCTCTTTCATATTATTTTTTGTATATTAATATTATACTGAATAAATATTTTAAGGGTTTTAGACTAGAATTACGCTTAGCCAGATTTCCATTTTTGGTAATACTAGTGAAAGGGCAGTTAAAAAAGATAATTAGGCATGTGTCCTGAAGTTTGAAGGATATGTAAAAGAAGCAAGAATAAATTTTTCTAAATGTAGAATTGAACCATGTATGCTGCTGCATGTTCATGTTAAGTTCATGCCTTGGAAAATGGACCAGTATAAAGACAGACTCAAGGCTTGATCTGAAGTAGATACTGAGGATCATCTCAATATTTGGAAGTGCAGCTATTCCTTAAATACACTATAAAAAAAATCATAGAATCATAGAATGGTTTGGGTTGGAAAGGACCTTAAGGTCATCTAGTTCCAACCCCCCTGCCATGGTCAGGGACACCTCGCGCTAAACCATGTCTCCCAAGGCTCTGTCCAGCCTGGCCTTGAGCACTGCCAGGGATGGAGCGTTCACAGCTTCCTTGGGCAACCTGTTCCAGTGCCTCACCACCCTCACTGTGAAGAACTTCTTCCTTACAGCTAATCTAAACTTCCCCTGTTTAAGTTTGAAGCCATTACCCCTTGTCCTACCACTACAGTCCCTGATGAAGAGTTCCTCCCCAGCATCCTTGTAGGCCCCCTTCAGATACTGGAAGGCTGCTATGAGGTCTCCACGCAGCTTCTCTTCTCCAGGCTGAACAGCCCCAACTTTCTCAGCCTGTCTTCATATGGGAGGTGCTCCAGCCCCTTTGTCACCCTTGTGGCCCTCCTCTGGACTTGTTCCAACAGTTCCATGTCCTTTTTATGTTGAGGACACCAGAACTAGACACAATACTCCAAGTGAGGCCTCATGAGAGCAGAGTAGAGGGGTAGGATCACCTCCTTTGACCTGCTGGTCACGCTTCCCAGCCGAACAGCTGTATTATCAAAATTTATCACACATATTAATGACGCTTGAATTTGTTTATCTATAAAACACAGTTTAAGAGGTCTGTTCTTGTTAGTTTGATCTGTAGCCATTGATAACCAAAACAGAACTGTATTGTAGTACTACAAACCCAACACTGTGACAGGAGCTGCATTCTATCCTTTCTTGATCATTGTCAGCATTGTTTGGGAAAGTTCCACACCAGAAGCAAATTGTATCTTTCACTTTATCATATTATCCTGACATTTTAATACAGGGTAAATGAGGACAGGCTTTGAGGAAGATACTGGCTTAGTTGTTGGAGTGGAGCCTGGGGAGAAAAAAAATTAGTTTACTCCGGTTAAGAACTCCAGGGTTCTTTAATATGTTTTGTTTTTTTTTTTTTACTTTAAGTAACTGTGGTCTAGACTTAATTGAGCTATAGTGCAAAGAACTCCCAACGTACCCTTTCTAGTTAGTTGTCAGACTAGAAAACTTGTGAACATACCCAAAATAAAAATGCCTGCATGAATATGCAATCTGTAATGCCTGGTAACACCTCTGATACTGAGATTAAAGCACTTCAGAGGAAATGAATAGTAAATCACATGAAAATTAGTTACTGTTTTATTTGTACTAGCACAGTCTGTAAGCAGCTGAGCTGTAGGTCTGGTTCAGAAATTCGGTAGGCCAGCCACAGCCACATCTTAGGTGCATGTTTGTTACAGTGACTAGAGGTGTATCGGTACCCTATTCATACTAGCAAATGGTTTTGTGTGTGATAGCAACTCTGTGCCTGTCTCTGTCTGTATCCACCTACACCTTAAATTACATGCATCCCAAGCTATTTAGAAATAAAGTGAAACATACTCAAGGTCCAAAATGCTCTCTCTGTACTTGTAATCTGACTGTGGTATTTTTCTATTCCTTATTTGTTGTAGAAGGCTGAAGAAAATGCAGAGGGAATGGCATCTGGTCTTGGTCCTGATGGAGAGGTATGAATTTTAAAAGATGCTTTTCTGTTATTTGTTTGTTTGTTTTTAAACTTGCTAGTGGTTGTTCTCTGTGCCATTGCTGTAGCTTAAAAAAAAATCATGACCACAAAGAGGAGTTGTTGTTTATAACCAGGAATAAAAATTATCTAGATTAACGTTTATGCTAGCCTGTTTGTCGTCAGAAAGCTGAAGACTAAAAGAAAAGTAAACTGAATAATATATACTCTTATCACTGCATATGCTGAAGAATCCATCTCAGCTTTGTTACAGGCTTAGAACTAAATTGTTTTCTTGCAGTCTGTGTGCAGATACAATTTATTTTCTAAAATGAGGTTGTAAACACAATATATTCTAGCTTCTCATCTTAAGAAAATACATTGTTGACACTGCATGTAATTACCTTTCAGACACAGGACAGACTACAGTATTATGATGGCTTAAGACACCTTCAAGTTCTTTCTTACTCAGAAGCAAATTTTCTGTGTCATTCTTTGAATAAGATTTTTCATTCAGTAGCAGAGCATATGCTGTCTCATTAAGAGCAGCTCTGTTAATGCTGTTTCTCTTCATTTTAGTTTTATATGAGGACTTCAGAATTGTGTGTATTGTTCTACTTGTGGCCTTTTTAATACTTACAAGGGATATTTTTGCTGATGTAGGTTAAGAGTTACACCAAAATCCTTTAATATAGTTATGGTTGCACAAGGAAAATGCATGTAACATTCCTGTAGCCTTAGTATTTATGGAAACGGGGTAAGTTTTATACACTGTCAGTCACTGTATTTATAGCTGTTCAGAATTACTCTTTCTTGTTCATATATATGTATGTATATATTAGGAAAAGATTCTTCAGCAGAAGCAGTAGTAGAAGGCAAGAAATTTTTAAAGTAGAAAATCTGTGATTTGGCAGAGCGAAGAAATAACAGAAAAAGTAATTATGTTATTCTGGCTTTGTTAGAGCACCAGAATAAGTAAAAGATTTTGGTTTTGCAGGTGCTTTATCAGATTAATTGAAGAAGTCAGGACAGTAAATCTGTGAATAGGTCTTCTTCACTTAAAAAGTTAGATAAATTGTTAGGTCCTTGTTTTTCCATGTAAGAGAAAAGGTCGTAAGGTCAGTGTATGGGGTTTTGTTACAGATGTCCATTGGTGAAAATAGCAGGATTAAATGCCTATAAACATACATAGCTTGTGTCTTGTTTCATAGAAAGCAATAGTGTAATCTTTTCCATGCTACTCTTTTTGATTTGTTTGGAATACTGTGGTATATTTGTGGATGTCACATAGAATGTGTTACACACAGAAATACTGTGATTCAAGTGTTTGCTTGATAGTTATATGGGAAGGTGTGGCTTCTAGTAATGAAACTTCACTGCTTGTTCAGATTTGGAATTTTGAAGGTGCTCTTAGTTCTTTTTTTTATGTATGACAAGCATAAAATTCAGTTGCCGTATGGAATAAAATTGCGTTTGAAATTTTAGCCCATAGATGAGAGTAGTCAGATGAGTGACCTTCCCGTCAAAGTGACTCATACTGAAACAGGCAAAGTTCTTCTTGGCCCGGAAGCACCAAAAGCAAGTCAGCTGGATGCTTGGCTGGAAATGAACCCTGGGTAAGTAGCTAGCATACAAGTAGACTGCTTTTTCTACTTGCATTGATACTTTTAATGGGCTTCTCTTAGTTACTCCTTTTTCTTTTTTTTCTGTTCTTTTAATTTACTATGTGTAAGATTAGTAGATCCATTGAATCTAATCCCTCCTCTTGTTATCTGTAATTTGTAATCTTTCTGTTCTCTTTGTACAGCTATGAAGTTGCTCCCAGGTCAGACAGTGAAGATGAAAGTGGATCTGAATATGAGGAGGAGGTATGTGTCTGAAAAAAAAAATACTGTGACAATACAGTAAACCCCAAGTACTTCATGTGGTATTCTCCTCTTTTTCATAAGGAAGGAAAGAAAAGCAATAGCAGGTGTGTACGTAAGTGTTTTAGCAATAACTAAATAACTGTATTGTTAATTCTTTTCAGTTCATAGCAGTTGCCCTTTTTATATGCTGTATGCCTAAGTGGTAATTGGGTTTAGGAAAAGTAAATATTTTTTTCTGACTATTAGTAATCATGAACCAGAGAATATAAGCAGGTTCCTATTTAAAACTATATGTCAGAAAAAAGCTGTATTGTGGCTTTGTGCTGAAGGAAGTTAACATCTTCAGGGTCACTATTAGGACTTCTGCTGTTCAACATCTTTGTCGGTCCAGACTTAGACAGACATGGGCAGTGGGCCTGATGCACCCTCAGCAAGTTTGCTAAAGACAGCAGGCTGTGTGGCGCGGTCGACACACTGGAGGGAAGGGATGTCATCCAGAGGGACCTGGACAGGCTGGAGAGGTGGCCAGTGTCAACCTCATGAAGTTCAGCAAAGCCAAGTGCAAGGTCCTGCATGTGGGTTGGGGCGGTCCCAGGCACAGCTACAGGTTGGGTGGAGACTGGATTGACAGCAGCCCTGAGGAGGACTGTTGGGGTGTTGGTTGATGAGAACTCAGCATGACCCAGCAGTGTGTGCTCACAGCCCAGAAGCCAACCGTGTACTCGACTGCATCAAAAGGAGCATGACCAGCAGGTCGAGGGAGGGGATTCTCCCCCTCTATTCTGCTTCAAGGCCAGGTTGGGTGGGGCCTTGAGCACCTGGTCTAGTGGAAGGCATCCTGGTGTAGTGAAAGGCATCCCTGCCTGTGGCAGGGGGCTTGGAACTAGATGATCTTCAAGATCCTTTCCAACTCAAACCATTCTATCATTCTATGTTTCTGTGATCTTTAATGTTTATACACTGGAGGTTTTATTGGCAATTCTGAGTAACAGTTATTCATTTACCTGTTATATTTATTAAAAATCAGGAATTATGTCAGGGCTATAAGTTCTGACTTCTTAGAGTAGGCTTATTGGATTCACTATTTTAAATTCTATGACTACAGAAATTCTAAAATGAATCTTAAAATTTACACACAAAGATCACAAGCTTGTAGTACTATAATATTAGATACTGTGAATAATCAGTATTGATACTTCCATAGAATTTTTCAAGCAAGTACTTTCTCAAGGAGAGGAAAGCTGAAGAGTAGAGAGGACCATGTTCAATCAACAGGCTAGTAGCAGAACGAGGTATAGAATTCGTATCTCCCAAGTTTAGCAGTCTTTACAATACTGAACCAAATGACCACTGAAACTGACTGGACTGTATGATGTTAAGGTAATAGTCCTTTGTAGGACTACTTATTTCTAATGTAATTCTATAAGACTTTCACCATTAAAGAAAGGAGGGGAGGGCCTGATACATGTTAATTTCTAGGAGGAATGTTAAAAGATATGTGCCCACATTTTTAGCACAGACTCTTTAGCAACAGCATTGTTTAGAGCTGGGAAATTGTTCTTGGGAGAATACACTTGCAGAAGTCAGAGCAGCCTTCTGTTCAGCTTCATTAGTGAGATTCTAAGTTTTTTGGTTATCCGTTACAACTGTAGGCAGAAGAGAAATTGTTATTTTTAGAAGAGTAAAAATGTGGTCTGTTTTGAAAAGTTAAGAAACTAGAAGCTTAAAACCACTGTATTTGCCAGGTTTTTAAGCTTTATTAAATTATTACACATGTGGAATGTGATATACGTGGTATTGAAATACTTTCCATGAACACAGTAGACAGAGTAAGATTTTTAAAAGTAAGATCATTAGAGGGGAAGATAATTCTTATTTCAAAGTATTGAGACTTCCTATTGGTAAATGTGTGTCAAAAATTATCTTTGTTGTGCTGCAGTGCAGTTCTGTTGCAGAATAGTTGTAAGCTGAACTTTGTGATTCAAGTTTCTGTCATAAAGCATTGACCAATGAAAGCTACTAATACGTGAATGCCAACTGAAAGTACGATGTAGGAAGGTATTGCACTTAACAGCACTCCTGTAGTTTTTCTGTATTCTGTAGGATGATGAAGAAGAATCAAGCAGATTAGAAGCAGATGAGAAGATACTCCTGGATCCTAACAGCGAGGAAGTTTCTGAGAAAGATGCAAAGCAAATCATTGAGTAAGTGTTCTTTAGGTGCTGTTTTTTGTTAGGAATTGTGATTTCTTACAGTGGCATTTCCCAACGTTAGCTTACTCTAGATTACAGTGAGTGTGGTAGCTTCTCTGTCAATGGACATCTACACGAAGAGGAACACAATCATTTGGTATTAATTGTGTACTGTTTATAAAGGAGGTTGTACCCTTTGGTGTACTCGCCACAGTTGGTGATTTGTACTGTTTCTTTAGAAATACATATAGGAGCTGTGGTCAAAAAACCTGTTTGTTTATGGGAATTCACTCTAGTTCTTTTACTGCTTTCCAGGACAGCCAAACAAGATGTGGATGATGAATACAGCATGCAGTATAGTGCTAGAGGGTCTCAGTCCTATTATACTGTTGCTCACGCAATCACAGAGAGAGTGGAAAAGCAGTCTTCTCTACTTATTAATGGCACATTAAAACATTACCAGGTGAGAAATCATCTCATATGCTCAACATTTCAGTGTGCTATTTCAAGTGGCAAACTGAAAATTTGTTAAGAAATACAAGATCTCTAGTAGGTTAGGACTTGGGATTATATGGACAAAGCAGTGACAGTTACCTATCACAGATAATGCTTCATGCAACTGCTTGAATAATAATATCACCTTTCTGCCTATACCGTAACCTTTTTTTATTTTTTATTGCAGGCCAATAATACGTTGGTTTTGCTATCCTTCTTACTGATGTGGAATTTCATTTTCCTGTTGTTTTCGTTTGTGTTGAGTTAACAGTATTTCTCTTCTTCCAGTATTTGAAAGTTTAGGATTTTATTTTGTAATTAAGATCCTAGTATTTCAGTGCACTGACAGGCAAAATTTGGAAACAAGAAAAATATTTTACTGTGGAGGTTGGTGTATCATTCTTCACCGCCATTCAGTGGTTTTAGTAAGTAGGAACTTCTGTATTCTGACATAGACTAGGCATAAGCAGGTATGATTGAAAATGCCTGTGGTACATGTTTTCAACACTTCTGCTATTGCACAGCTTTCTAGGAAACTCCAAGAATCTACATATTTTCTGCAGTTGGAACATTATTTCTCTATCTACATAAAATAAAGACTAATACTTACCAAGATGTCATAAAGATGTATATCTATTACTGTGTGCAGAGAACTAGAGGAAGACTGTTATCCTAAGTGTGCAGAGCATTATGATTACAGCCACTGCTTCCTATGCTCCTCAGCACTGCTGTTTATTACAGTAGCTTGTTTAAATAATTTAAAATTCAAGAGTTAAGCCGATTTTCCTTTTAAAAGCATTGTAGTATTTTTATATTGTGCTTCTCACTGTGGGACATGGTGAGAAAACAAAAGACTATAAACAAAAGATGAAAAAAGTGAGTTCAGACTGAGTGTATGGAAGAGGCACAGTGCCACTGTGGAGCAGGGTTTCAGGAGGTTTTCAGTTGCCAACCATATGAAGCCATGAGCAACCTGGCTCCAAAGATGGACCTACTTTGGGCAGGGGATTGGCCTAGGGACTGCCTGAGGTCTGTTCCAAACTGAATAATCCCTTGATTCTACTTGTTTGTAGCAAAACTGCATCTGAATTTGAATTCTGTTATGAATCCTTAGCATTTCCAGGTGTCTCACTGTGAGCCCTCAACAGAAAAAGAGGAAAAATCTGTCATTCAGGGACGGATTTTGAACATGATATGTTAAATAACTTGCTGTTACCATTGATAATGAGGTGACTAAACCAAAATAGAATCTAACCATAAAGAGAAATACGCTCTTTCTCAGATATGACACCCTCTCTATTTTTGCTGCCTCATTCTCAGTATGTTGCACCCAGTGAAGCAGGGAGTCAACAGATGTAGTCAGCAGACTTCTTTACTGTGTAATCTTGATTCATTGTCTGGGAAGATTTCCCTGTTACACCAAATGCGTAGTATATAACAATGCTAATTTGATGGCCATATTGGCTTAAAGTGCTCATGGATGGGAAATGAAGATTTTGATAATTCCTTTACTTCCTGAATTGTAATCACTTATGGAACATTGAGATATTCTTGAATTGCACAGATCTGTGTTTTGCAGTGCAAGTAATTCAGTCCATAGAGTTACAGATACTAACAGGGATTTAACCTGCTCAGTGTGGTGTCTAGCAATTGATGGCATAGATTTGTTTTTTAGTCTCTGCTCTGTATACTTATTGTACCAAGAGATAAGAGGCACGCTTGTCTGAGGAGCTTTATGTCAGGACCCTTGAGGTTTGACTTTGGCTATGTCAGTGGGAAAAGTTCAGTGGTGTAGAAAAGGCAGTTTTCCTGTTAGCAGTTCTGAAGCTGCTTTGTAGGCGGACATACAGTTGCAGGACAAATTCTGGTCAACTCTTGGCCTGAGTATTTAATACCTAAATACAAATTAGTCAGCATGTACTTAAATCAATGAATTGGCAACATTGGTTTGGATACTCTCTCACAAGGACAACAGAAGGTTTCTTCAAGTACATAGTATTTTCTCTCTGAACTTTCTTAGAGCTTTTAATTTACTTCTCTCTCCATGCATGAGACACACCAAAAGTCTGGATCTTTAAGCAAAAACTTTGTACTTGCATGAGCGATGTAATACACACATGTGGAAGTCTCTGTGACAAGGGAATAATCTGGATCAGTTGCTTCTAGCAACTCTGTTACTTTGACATTTCTTAGCTTCAGTACTCTGGCTTCCTTCCAGCTTTGGGATTTATATACCAGATACAAATGGACAAAGGGGGCCTAGTCTGACATGTGAATGTATGGGTAGCAGACACTGTGTGGACGTGTGCTACAAGACCTTTAACATACTAGTGTTGCAGCTGGCAAGTGTGAGGCTTACATGTTTTGCAGACTTGGTGAGTTTGGTTTTAAAAGATTTTAACTGACACAGGCAAATAGCATGAAATTTACACGGAAAGTTTAATATTTGTGAGTGTTGAAATTGGAGAACAAACTCCTGCAATTTTAAGTATTTATTAACCTAAAGTGTGAGTGTCTGTGTTGCTTCGGATGCAGTACAAAAAAGACCTCCATGCATGAGATCTGGTTTCATATTATGGGCTCTGCTAAACAGATTTCCATGTAGCATATATTACCAGAAATTTACCTTGTTTTGTTTGTTGTTGTGATTTTTTTTTTTTGGTGGGGGGGAGGTGCTAAGATAAGCAGGGGTCTCTGTGCATATAGTATTAATACAGGAAATCCAGCATCTAAATAGGCAAGGACTTCAGAATCTTGGTTCTTGTCGTGGTTAATATATTCTGAAGTCCTTGCCTGTTGTTAAATATTTGTTCAGGCTTTAAGTGAGTGAAACTATTGTTCTTGATTTCAGCTCCAGGGACTGGAGTGGATGGTTTCGCTCTATAATAACAATCTGAATGGAATTTTAGCTGACGAAATGGGACTAGGAAAGACAATACAGACTATTGCACTCATCACTTACCTGATGGAGCACAAAAGACTCAATGGCCCCTATCTCATCATTGTTCCCCTTTCGTAAGTAAAGGATATCTTTCTGCTGTTACATTCTAAGCATTGCAGATTGGTTTATTTAGAAGACACACTTGTTTTTCATGTAATGACAACAGTGGGATTACACAGAGCATGTATTCAGTGTTTTCTTGATCATTTCTTCCCATGTAATTGCCTGACATTGGAAAGGTGACCAGAAAGCTGATAAAGCAGTTGATTCCATTACTTTCACTGTCCGCTCTTGGCAAACGTAGTGAATTTACTGTAATTCAATCTAAAGCCACAAGAGGGAGCGGGCATTCCTTTAATATTACATGCCAACAACTGATGCCTGATATCAAGTAATCATGCTTTAACGACAGTGGATGATCTTTTAAGTGCTGTATACCTAGCCCTGGATGTAGCCTTGAGGAATGGTACTGACACTTGAGTCAAGTGTCCAGATAACAGTTGTTTACTATGCTGCCCACTTCTGCTTTTTCTTAACTTTCCATGATGCTGCTTGTTTTATACAGTTCCTCTAATGCATTTTTCTTCCTCCAAAGGAGAGGTATGAGTTTTAGTGATTTGGAGAGCTGTGTTTTAAATAAAAACTGTCAGGCACTGTAAAACTGATGTAGGATATTGAGGAGTTGTTTGCTTATTTTTGTATATGACTTGAATGATCTGCAGAAGTTTCTGGCCTTTTCATTATATAATTTGTCCCCCATATTTCCTGAGCATGCAGATATGTTGTAGGATTGAGTTAGGTTTTATTCATGGCCATCTCTTTTGATTTGTTTTGAGGTATCCTCTGTTTTGGCTGTGCTGCTGTAGTAACTAATAGACTAACATAAATACCACAGCTGTGCCTAATTGTATGAAAATAAATGATGAGCTCTAGTGTGGAAAAAAAAAAAAAAAAGGCTGGGAGAAGATCTATGAAATAAAACACAGTTAAAAATAAAGAGAAGGTGTTATTAATGTCAGATTTCGTATGGGCACAGTAAAATCAGATTTAAATACTCTGTAATGATTTTTCTAATATTTCTAAAAGAAAGGGGCTGAAATTTCATTCTCGTATACATTTCAAAAGTTACTTTTCCCTGCCTTATCTTAGTAGCCAGTAATGCTGCCATCACAGGTCCAGTGAGGAAAAAAATAAGCAAGCAACCAAAAAACCTCAAGGTTATTTTTTGCTGCTGTATCATGATAGCACCTAGCTTAGCCATAAAATTGCATTTGTTGTGATCAAACAGCAGAAATGCAGTGCAAAAAGAGACCTGCATAGTGGCACTAGGTGGCACTAAGAGTAGTTCTTTGAGATAGAAGACTGATGAACGCTTATTATTAACTTCATCAGACTATATTTGAAAAGTTGGCAGTTGTTGGATGATAAGCAGTATAAAATAACTTACAAATCTGTTTTTTGTTCAGGGTTATCTTTCTTACCCTTAATGGGCTCCAAAATACAAAGATGCATGTAAAATGCTACTCTGAACTGGTTTAAAAGAAGTCCCTAAATATGAGCTGAAAGAGGGTTTCATGCTTTTTTCTGTTTAATCCCTTTGCAGAGATAATTTTATTTTATTACAGTATATAAAGTGCATTTTTAAAATATACTGTTAATTATGGGGGTTGACTACATGAAATATGTTGAAAAGTTGGCAACCACTTAGAAACATTTATAAAGTTTGACCTGCAAATGGTGAAGTGTATTACTTTTTCTCTATAATCTCTGTGATAGGACTTTATCAAACTGGACGTACGAATTTGACAAATGGGCTCCTTCTGTGGTGAAGATATCTTACAAGGTTTGATTTGCTTTTCATATGATTATATTGTTGAAGGAATGAGAATAGAGCCATTGTTTCCTCTGCCTCTGCATGCATTTCTAAACTGTTTGCTTGTGAAGTTTTGTCATGTGTATCAGTTAATAAGCAGTGAGAGTTAATGATACTAAGAAGGTTAGTAAATGATAATTACTTTCATATAGTGAAGTGCAAAGTAAAATTTTAATTATCACATTGCAAGGCTTCTGGTGGGAGTAATAAAAATGAAAACTACTTCACATTTTATACATAGCTGAATACTTTGCTGTTTGACTACTGTAGTAGTGGTGTGGCCAAGCAGTTTGTAAGGAGACTAGATTGCTAGCTACATGTTTCCAGTGCCCCATGAACAGAGCTTTACAGTCTTGCGAACATTTACGGAAAGCACCCTGAAGAAGCCTTAAATGAATTGATACACTGTTTGCAGTACTGCAGGATTAAGAGTTTGTGTGATTGCTCTGTGTCTGCTAATTCATAAAAATCAATCTATTTTCTTCATTAAAAGAGTAGCTACTTACCTGTCTCTCTCTTTTAGGGCACACCTGCAATGCGCCGCTCACTCGTTCCTCAGCTTCGAAGTGGAAAATTCAATGTTCTTTTAACTACCTATGAGTACATAATAAAGGACAAACATATCCTTGCTAAGGTAATGACTGTCATCTGTTAACAGCAAGACTTTCAAGACACCTTTAAATGGTGCATTACACACAAACATGTTTTTGTTTTACAGGGAAATCCTGAGTTATTCTGCCTTTCAATGAAAGTTAAACCTTTCATTTACTTTTCTACTTCTCTGTTTATTAATCAACTTCCCAGTCATAGCTTTTCCCCCTGTAAACACCAGGATTTTCCTGAAATGTGTCTGGGAGCCAAATTCCTTTGTGCAGTTCTGTCAGTACTGTATACCTGCATGTCCTTAGAAAACCATTACTTTTCTCCCTTCTGCTTAATGGCATTTAACCTATTCTACAGTCTTGATTTTAATATTTTTTCAGTGTTTCCAACCTGAAACCCAGTCTTATTAGAGCTTTTCTAGCTATGAGGTCACTTTTACACAAATGATTATATAGAATCATAGAATAGTTAGGGTTGGAAAAGACTTTAAGATCATCTAGTTCCAACCCCCCTGCCATGAGCAGGACACCACACACTAAACTGTGTCGCCCAAGGCTCTGTCCAACCTGGCCTTGAACACCTCCAGGGTTGGAGCATTCACAACTTCCTTGGGCAACCTATTCCAGTGCTTCACCACCCTCACTGTGAAGAACTTCTTCCTTATATCTAATCTAAACTTCCCCTGTTTAAGTTTAAACCCATTACCTCTGGTCCTACCACTAGAGTCTCTAATGAAGAGTCCCTCCCTTTTATCATGAATTCGGTATCCAGACTCTTTAGTACACATGGCCCAGTTCTTAAAGGCTCACTAAATGTCAACAGTTGTGCCTCGAACGTAATGAATTCATTAGAAAGTTACTGTACTCTAAGCCTACTACATGTACTACACAAAATAGACTAAGGAGGTATTTTGCTGTATGGAGAAACCATAAGGCCCTACTGTCCCTTTTTTTTTAATTTTCACTTTATTTTATTCTATTACCTACTGCATATTTAGATTACTTATTTTTTCTGTCTGATATAAAGGCAGTGTATTTTCTTAGCATAAGTCTGAACACCTGAGAATAGTTTGAGACTGCAGAGTTTTTCTTCCCCTCTAGTTTTTGCCTACCCTTGGTAAAAGATAGCAAGGATAAGCACTATGCCATTCAGCCTGTCCTGGGAAATGCAATTAGTTAGCACCTATGAAAGTACAAACTGAGGCCTTCCTAGTCTTAGGTCAGTGTGGCATGTTGACTGCCCATGTCGTAGTACTAACAGAGAGCTTGAACAACTTTCAACATCTGCTGAGATTGCATTTAAGCTTTCACATTAAGAAATACAAATGTTATTTGAAGATCCATTATCTGAGATTAGAAGATTGTAATTACGGTTGTTTGTCCTTGATTAGAATCAAAGGATTAGCTGAAACAAAACAAAGTTCAGGGTTGTTTGTAAGGAGTTACTTTGTCTGAAATGCTTTTTTATCCTATAAAGTTCTTGTTGCAGGCAAGTTTATTTGGAGTTTATGTGGTTGTTTTCTTCCCCTGTAAGCCATATTCTGGCCTTGAAGAGCCAGTCACTGTAATCTCTTTCCCAGAAGCGGGAGGAATCTGCTGTTCGCTGTTGCAGGTCAAGCTGGAATTCAGCATCAGATTCAATATAGCTAGTGTTTGTTTCTAGTTTTGCAGCTTGCAAGGCCGCTGGTACTTGGCTAATGCTTGATTTGGCTTTTCTCAGAAATGAGAATGACTAATGTCTGAGGCTTGAAATATTTCTGTTCTGTACCTGTTGGGAGGAATTTGACAAAGTCTGACATGCTCTAACTTTGCCAATTTTTCTTCTTTTTCTTGCAGATTCGATGGAAATACATGATAGTAGATGAAGGCCATCGAATGAAGAACCATCACTGCAAACTGACTCAGGTCTTGAATACTCATTATGTGGCCCCTAGAAGAATACTGCTGACTGGGACTCCATTGCAGAACAAATTGCCTGAACTTTGGGCTCTTCTCAATTTCCTCCTTCCAACCATTTTCAAGAGCTGTAGCACCTTTGAACAGTGGTTCAACGCTCCATTTGCTATGACTGGAGAAAGGGTATTGTGGCAGTTTGTTGGTTTTTTTTTCAACATCAGAAACAAAACGCTTCGATGAAAACAGAAAGGGGCTTATACAGAAGAATTAGTGGTACTTAGGGACTTAGGTACTTCTGTATTCAGAACTCTCCGTGGTACTTAGGGATTAATGTAACTAAAAGCTACAGTTTTTATAATGCCAGAAAATTATAATGTCAGTGTCTTTTTTGACTCAGAATCAGTTTGGTTTTAACATGAAAGTAACTATGGCCCATATTTAACCTTGCATGTGAGAGAAGACATTTCCTAACACACTGATGTGCCTTGTAGTGACTTTTATAAACTTCTGTAGGTGGACTTAAATGAGGAAGAAACTATTCTGATCATCCGTCGTCTCCATAAAGTGCTCCGACCCTTCTTGCTGAGAAGATTGAAGAAAGAAGTTGAATCTCAACTGCCAGAAAAGGTTTGCAATGAGAGGAGTTGTGGAAGGGGTTTAATACTTTTTTAAGCATTTAATGTTTGTTTTTCAGATTTGTTTTACAGATGACAACTTTAGCATCTGTTATTGTTGTAGTTTGTTTGTTGAAAGGTTGGCCACTGAGGAAGCCTGAATACCTGAAGTTTTGGCATTCTCAGGATTCCTCACCAGTCTTGCAACTTTAATTCTGTTTGTAGTCATCCATATAAGACATGAAGCTTATTTCCATAATACCTATTTTCAAGTTGTAAGTCCGTCAGCCATACACTGAGGATTAGATTCTATCCTGACCCCTCCTCCGTGCATGAGGTAGAACCTTTGCTACGTTAGGCAGTTCACTGAAGTTCCTAGAGGACTACTGGGCTTTATAAAGCATGCAGGATTTGGTCCTGCATTGACACGGCAGGAGTTGGGTGAAGTGTCTTGTTGAAATTGCGCAATTATTTTTTTAACTAGTGGCTGTTCAATTCAGAACATGAAATTCTCTTCTGATTTGAAAGGTCATTGTTTTTATCTCTGGGCAACTCATTTTGCCTCACCCTGTCCTTCTCTGCAGTCCTGTATTGCTTTTCCCATTTGCCTTTCCCAGAGTAACAACAACAACTAAATAAAAAAGTAAATGTGAAGATGAGCTGGAGAAAGTTTGCTGCTAAGGTCATCTGGGCTAAAACCATACCTAAGTGAAATTTCCTTAAGTTGTGCTTTGAGCTGACTAACACTGGCTGAATGAACAAAGAGCCCTATATAGATGCTTAAGGGCAGTACTCAGTGGAAAGGCCCTTTAAAAATTTCTTTCTCATCCCTATAATGTTGTGAACACTTGTTACTGTTGTGACTTTCTGTTCCTTCAGATTCTCAGTATCCTTAGAAGCATTTGTTTGAGAATGAAACATACTTAAATTTAAAAATATTACTGAAATACTTATTTCTATTTAAATTTCTGCCAGGTAGAGCCACTGTATTTCATAAATCCATTAGTAGTTATTGGAGGAGGAGAATTTAGAAGTTGCATTCACACTGGTACTCAGAGGACCATGTTTCTTTTTGTTTTCACTATTTTGTTTACAAAAAAAGGGTTAGTTCAACCATGAGGACTGAACTTCTTGACCAAAGTCTGCTAATCAGTTTCATGTGATCTTATAAATCTTAATAAAGAAGCCATTGAATGAATAGTAATTTTTCTTTGAGGAGTTTGTCCTGCTGTCTTTATGAGAAGAAATTAAAAAAAAAAAAGATAATTTTTATTCCATTTATTTATTAAACATTAGGAAGCTTACACTTTTTCTTTCAGTCACCACTAGAAAGACTTCTAGCCCCTACTTTGGCTTTATAATGTGACTGGCTTTATTTTACAAAAAATATTAAAGACATAGTGGCTTTAATCTGGAAATTGGGTAATAACAAAAAATGTATTGAACTGGGGTGTGAAGTCTTACTGGATATTACTGGATTTAAAGATAGTGTGCAGTGAAAAAATGTTGTACTAAATAAAGTTTTACAAAGCTGAACATGAAGTCCAGCTGAGTGTGGGCATTATATAGTACTTGATTAATTCTCTGTATTTTTAGTTCATGTTGAGAAAATGGTATATTTCTAGTCCAACCTAGGTAAGCATAATGCTAAGTGGACACTATGAAGGATGCTTGTTTGCTAGATGTACAATGATGATATTTTTATACTGCTTTACAGATATAATGAAGTCCACAGGTTATTAAGCACAAATATTTTAATTTAAATTGTAAAAATTTCAGAATGAGAAAAAAATATGGTGATTCTGCACTTACATTCTTAGGATCCAGCTGTCTCATTGTAGTTGTGACTCTCACAGATAATTTTTTGAGCACATTGCTGTGCTTATAGTTGGATTGTTCCTCAGTGAAATCATATGCAGTGGTAAGGTACGGATAAAAATTAGCAGGTTTTTGTTTTGTTTTAGGATAATGAGAACTTGTAGTTGGATCCTACTAACATTATTACATCAGTGTGTTTATGGTTGGTTTGTTTGATTATTTTACACTAGGTGGAATATGTGATTAAATGTGATATGTCAGCGCTTCAGAAGATCCTGTACCGCCACATGCAAGCCAAGGGAATCCTTCTCACAGATGGTTCTGAAAAAGACAAGAAGGTATGAAAGAAAGACTAAACATGTAGGAAATGATGTATTATCATTAAATATGCTAACAGTATGATTTCTGTTTTATGAAACTAGTATGTAGGTTCTTTCTGCAGGTATCTGTCATGGGAAAAAGCAGTATCTATCAGACATGCTTTTGTTTTACAAGACTGGAGCTCATGCTCTCTATTCACAAAAGATCCTACTTGTATTCACTGTAATTACAGTCCATTTCTGCAAACAGGCAATGTTTGAAAAAATCCAGCATTTCCCTTGACTGAGTTTAATCCAATATGGTACCTGAATAATTGTGACTGTGGCAGTGTTGGCTACAGAAAGTCATTAATCTTGTCTTTCAGAGCAATTACTTAAGTATAAGGTTTGTTTTAGCCACCTTCTGTTCATAGTTACAAGATCTGTAAGTGACATGGTTCTTTTAAGAGAACAGTAGGGTTCAAAGTCATATAGTCAGATGTAGAGTACGTGTTAGTAAATACTGATTATGCCATCATGGGACTTGATCCAGTTAATACAAAGTGAAAAAGTTGCCATTTGTCATCTTATTTGTGTATATGCGTTTCACATTACAATAAACGTGAAATACCTTGAATAGGTACTGCAGAACAGCTGGTGTGTAACAGTGTGTTTTCACTGTGTTATGTGTATATTACTGATGCAGTGCAATCACATCTTGTCTTTCCACCATACTTTTGCAGATTGCATTGGCACAATGAGTGATATTTTTGTTCACTATCGTATTTTACCCTCGTTTTGTGCAGTCACATTGTTATCCTTGCTGGTGCTTGTTCAAACTCCAGACAAAGCTAGTTCTTATCACTGGATGTTGATACTCATCTTCATAGATTGAATACTTTGTAAACATAAATTTACATTGTTCTGTTGTATTTTAATGTCATTTTGTGGTTTGATGTCTTTACTTTTGTCCTACAAATTTTATTTTGTATTACAGGCAGATTTCCTTCCCTTCCTGATCCTTTTCGACTCTCTAACCAGTTCAGAACCTTTGAACTGGTGAAAGATCATAAATTGTTTTGTTGTTTTATAGAATCATAGAATAGTTAGGATTGGA